CAGATTTACAGACTCGAGGAATTAGTGCTCAGTCACTAGTTAAGAATGATCTGTGGTGGCATGGGCCACACTGGTTATGTTTTCCCACTGAAAACTTTCCGAAACAAAGGAAATTACAACCAAATTCAGAATCGTTAGAGTTAAGAAAGAGTATTATTTTGACTGCACCTGTAACTGACAATGAATCCCCGATTCTGGATATAGCAAAATTCAGTTCTTTACAAAAATTACTGCCTATGTATTAAGATTTATTGGGAAGCTTCTGGAAAGGTCTACAGAGAATGGACCTTTAAGTGCTTTTGAGATAGAAGCAGCTGATCATTATTGGGTAGAGAATCGTATCAAGTGGAAATAATTAAGTTATCAAATAAAAAATTAATTCTCGTTTCTTCCATCTACTCCATTAATCCAAGGCTTGATGAGGAGGGAATTCTTCGGTTGAAAGGTCGTATTCAATTTGCAGACTTTCAGGAGAATTTAAAACACCCTATTCTATTACCCTCTAAATGCAAGTTTACCGAGTTTTTCACGGGTTGAGTCATCATTATGGACTCACATAAAAAGGTATTCCATACTGGAGTTAATTTGACACTAACTCAGATCAGAGCCAAATATTGGATCATTAAGGGAAGGCAGCGTGTTAAGACTATCATCAGCAAATGTGTGATATGCAGATGATATAGTGATCGTCCTGGGGTATAGGATATCGCCCCACTTCGTCCAGACAGAATCCAAGAGTCGCCTCCATTTGCTATGACCGGGTTGGACTTCGCTGGTCCATTTTTTACAAAAGACAGGCAAGGTAAAGTTTACACGCTGTTCTTAACATGTGCAGTCACTTGTGCCTTACATATAGAAATAGTAACTGATCTCAGCACTGAAAGTTTTTTTTACCATGCTTTCCGAGGATTTTTAGCTCACCAAGGACTATGTACCACCGTGTACTCCGATAATACCAAGACTTTTAGACTTTGAAAAGAACTCACAAAGAACTAAAACATATTTTCGAAACTTTGAGTGACTTATCTGTGAAAGAATTATTTTCTGCTAGAGGCATAAATTGGAAATTTATTATTGAGAGGGGTCCATAGTGGGGAGGGTTTTGGGAGTGTATGGTACGAGCCATAAAAACCAGTTTACGGAGAAAATTATTGGTCGATCATCCCTTACTGTTAATGAGCTTGAAACAGTGCTCATTGAAATAGAGGCAATGATTAATTGTAGACCAATTACCTACGTGTTTACTGATCCCAGTGAATTTCTCCACTAACACCCTCTCATTTTCTGGTTGGTAGACGATTACTATTTCTGCCTGCTAATAAAATAACATCAAATAATTTGATTGAATCAAGAAATTCAATTATTAAATGATATAAATACCATCAAGATATTTTAAATCATTTTTGGAAGTGTTGGAAAACAGAGTATCTTTTTAATCTGAGATCTGCCAATATTTGTCCTTCACACTCTAATGCATCTCAGTTTAAAAAATCAAAGATATTGTCTTGATTCATGATGATAAACATCCCAGAAATCTCTGGACAATAGGTAAAATTTTGGAATTAATGCCAGGCATTTACCATTTACCAGATGGTAAAATAAGATCTTGCATAATTAAAACACCTACTGGTACCTTAAAAAAAGGGATATACAATTGTTATATAATATGGAACTTAACTAATGTTTGTGTTTTGTATTTTAAGGTTTGATTCTCCTGACTTTGCCGATAGGTATCACTTAATGTTTTGTAAAATTTATGTGCTTATAATTATGTATGCATGTTTATTATATTTAACCATTTATCTAGGATTGATTATCGAAATATTAATTGAATATTCTAGAATATATTATCGAAAGATGAATTCTCCACCGAATTCAGGTGGAGAGTGTTAAATAATTTGAAAGAAGAAAACGCTAGAGGATGCTGTTGCTCGCTTTGTTGTGAGAGAATAAAATTTTATGAAGGCAGCGGCCTAAGAATAAGCTCAGTATATAGTGAATTAAAATATTGTTAAAAACGTAAAAGTGTTAAAACTTGTGAACCATCATCACCTGATTTAGAAATGTAAACAATTTAAAACATGCTAAGGGAAGCATAAGCATTTTAGAGAGGATTAGGTGGGGCAAAGCACAAAAAAGGTTGGGAAACACTGTGATAGACAGTCTCTCGCACATTGGAGATAAAAATGTTTTATTCCGAACAATGTTACCATTGCTTGCTTTTAAATCATTGTGTTTGTTAGTCAAAATACAATAATGTTTTAATGAAAGCTTTAAGATTCTTCATTAGCTCAGAAGGGCTATTTTCATTTTGGCAACTTGAATTGAAAATTTTAAATGTCTGATTCACTTTTCAAATTGTTGCCACCAAATATTATCATCTTGCGTTATATTTAAAGAAATTAAATAATGAAGAATCTGCATAAATGTGTGCATGTTTCTCCACTGTGACAAAACAATGATACCTAGAGCCATCAAATTTTGAATAACGCAATCCTCCACCAAATATGGGCATCTAAGGAGCCATAAATTGGAATTTTGAATTTGTTTTATTATTGACTTCATATTTTGTAACACATCAACGAATTTTTTATAAACAAACTCATTTCAAAGCGAGCAATGGCAAAACTGTATGGGGGGGGGAAATTATCTCCATAGCGCGGGAATTGTAAAGGCATGCTCATTTAAAAGTTACTTTGCGATGTTGCTGTTAAACTGAATTTTATGGCTTAAGTGTGAAGAACATGATATTTAATAAATAAAGGTAACACACAAAAAGTTAAAAAAAAGGGCCCTTGGGTGTAATGTAAAATCTGAGAAAGCTTTCAGATTGTTTAAGCCCAAAGGGCTTTAGCCCAGAAGGGCTATTAATGATATGAGTTGATATGAGTATTAACATCACATATATACTACTACTTGTCATTTTGAAATAATTAAAGGACTATTTAAAATAGTTCCCGTGAAAGGAAAACCTGGTACACAGGATATTTTTCCTAAGATAAAAATTGTAATAGATAAATATGAATTCAGTTAAAATGGCTGAACTTGTAAGTGATGGTATAGCTGCTATGGCTGGTAAGAATTGGAGAGTGGTAAAATCAAGAAAAACAGTGAAGGAAAATTTCACTATAATTTTTGTGCCATGCATTGTATTTTTCAACCAAAAAACATTCTATGGTAAAAGTCTCGTGAAACCATAACTAAACTGTAACTTCTCCAAGGATGAGTTCTGTATCATCGAAATTGTGTTGCACTACTTAAAGAAACTGAAAGTGAGTACGAAGAAATGATTTCTCATAATCAGATAGGAGGTTAAGTCGAGGAGCTGTACTAAAATGGATTTCTAATTTAATAAATGAAATGAGAATTTTCAAAATTGTCCCTCCCCCAAAAGGAAACACTGATGAGCTAGCTACATATGCATGGATAACAGGTTTCTCATTTATTGTTTACTTAACCACTTATTTAAATATTCTCAAAATTAAGAGTTGCAAGTAAAAAATACACTTTTGACTCACATGTAGGATTGTATTAAGGTTTTTAAAATTAAATTGCAATCATGAGAAACAATGTGGAATAAAAATTATTGCATTCATACATCTTAAATCTTGCATTATTATTTTAAATGAAAAATCTCAAGACTATCCAAGAAAATAACTCTATAGTAAGTTTCAAGAAAAATTTAAAGATTTTAATAACTTCCAGTTAGAAAATATTTTCTAACCAATCCCAGTTAGAAAATATTTTTTTTAACTTGTTGTTATTATTTAAGTATGCTTTGATAAATATTTATTCTGTAAAGTTGAAAATTTAGTTAGAATATTTTATTTTGTTTAAAAAATAGCCATATTTTAGAAGAAAAGTTTCGGCCTGTCAGCTGCTTTCAGGTCGCATTCAGCCCTCACAATTTGAGTTAGAGACCACTTTCTTTCTTTACACCGACGCACGGCATTCGATCCACTGGGGCAGTTAGCATATCGGCCAGATAGCCCCGCTGATAAAATTAACTTGGTCCACATAACACACTTTGGTACATATTGTGTTCAAGACGAGTGCTGGGGTGATGCAAACAAATGCTGGACAAGACGATAGTGCAGTGATGGAAGAAGGGTGCATTGCAGGAGAGGAGAACAATTTCAGTTACATATTTACAGAGTTATGGATAGGTGGTTACAATAGGCATCCACTACGTGAACAATAAATGAGTACAGTGCAATATATGAACAATTAACAGAGTGACTGATAAAACAGTAAATATAATATCTAAAATAACACAAAATACTAAATAGCAATACTAAAAATACTAAAAGGTAAAATAAAATAAAGTAAAGAAAAACAGTGAAAATAATAATAAAATAAGGCAAAATACATAATTCAGGGTTTACAGTTCAAGGAGATAAGGATTTAAAAAAAAAAAAAAAGAAAGAAAGAAAAAGAAAAAAGAAAAGCTAACTTAAGATAAAATAAATTCACTTCAAGTACAGAGCATACGGGGGCTGTGCTGGTGATGAGGATGGCAGCTGAGAATTACTCCATCCTGTCTGAGATTTTGTGTGCAATATTTATGCAATCACATATGCGTTTCAATGCATAGCAATTTTTCGAAGTAGCTTCTGCCCATGCATGTATGTGGTCTGCCACTGACTGTCTCGGCAGTCTCTCCGCAAACAAGATATCACTCAGTGGTAAAGATCTCCTGCCATTCCGCATGAGCAATGGTCGTTTTCACGGTTAGAAACCACTGATTTAAAGCCATCTCTAACTGGACATACAGTCTTAAAATCTTTTAAAAACCATATAAATTCTGATGCAGCTCCAGCCCTAGGTTGCTGACACATATATGTGGAACAAATGATACTGAAATATTTATCACATTTACAAAACACCACACGGCAATGCTTTCCATTTAACTGTTAGAGAATACTTTTCAGAGAATATGAAAAATGAATACATATTTTAAATTCCAACATGCAAGTTGAGAAAAATTTAAACAAACTTACCGAACTGCTCATAATTTCATTTCGATAAGGATGCCAAGATACATCACGTACACAACCCGAATGACCACTTAAAATTGATTTTATCTTGCCAGTTAATACGTCATAAACTATAGGATACAAAAACAAAGTTCACTCATTTTAAATTTACAAAATGAAAAAATGCACATTAGAATACATGAAAATAAAAATGTTAATAAAACATTATTTCTAACACAATACCACTTTAATTGAACCACACTTTTCTCACTACCCTCAGACAAGAAACGTGTTTTAACTTTTAATAGAATTACTATACAAAAACGAGGAAGCTAAGAAGAAACTAATATTTTACTGCTGTAACTCGAAAAAGTTCAAATTACTAGCATTACGGGCCGATTGACGAAATTCAAATTGCAATTTTCCTGTCTCGAAAGTGCAACTTAAGATATATATTAGATTTATATCTAACATTATTCTAACATTCAATTTTCACACACAATGAGACTTTTCCTGAAATAACATATCAATTTTTTCCATATTTCGATTCTACAACTCAAATTATGCTTAGATATTAAATTTTGTAAAATTTCATGCGAAATTTACGAAGAAATAAAAAAAATTACATTGGCCTATTTTTTTCAGTTTACGCCAAGAATGCCACTTGGCGGAATTTTTAATTTATAGCAATTTGCTTACTTTCCTTTTTTTTTCCTTGATGCATAACAGGAAAAAGGTCCATCATTCATTCTTTCAATTAATTTTAACAAAACCACATTTTTGTTGTTATCGCTTATATAAGGTGACCAGACGTCACGATTTAGGCAGGACAGTCCGGATTTCAGGCTTCATGTCCCGAGGTTCCTCACTTGTCTCGGCAGGATGCCTGTTTGTCCCGCTTTTCTGCAAAAGAGACTCTTAACGTCAATTAACTTGAATTGGGCGGCATGGCACATTGGTGACACCTCGCTGATGCTTGCTTTCCATAAAGCTATGATGTCATCACTCAAAAACGCGGGCGGCGACTGCTTTGGTGGCTAAGGCAAAGAAACAGATGCACATGCGCCAAATATATGTCGCCAAAGCTCCAAGCCGGCGTCAAAGTTCGAAGGCCAAGTTTATCAAGAATCCATAAAATGAATATTGTTTTAAATTTCTTTAAACTTTAAAGGAAAAGAACTTTTTGGATATGGGAAAACTAAATGGTTATCGCTGATGTCTGAAGTAGAGAGTTTTAAAATTGTTTCCTGCACTGAAATCCTATTTCTTGTCGGAAGGGAAGTGCCCCATCCTAATGTGCAACTTTTTTTAGAATGCCTGCGCTTTGAATTGTGACTCTGTTTTGTACATAATATTGCTGCGGTGTTTCAAGCCGCAATTCTGCACATAGAAACACAGACTGTAACAACATTGGAAGTATCTTCTGAACTGGATAATTTTTTTGTCAAATGAAGTACGTATGCTGATTACCCAAGAAGGATTAGGAAGAAGAAGGATTGGAGAGAAAAAATGACATTACAAGAACCATTGTAAATTTTTATGACAACTGCGCTGGATATCTGAAAGAGAGGGTTGAGCAGTTCGAAGATCTAAATGCATTTAGTTGGGCTGCGTTAAAGGAGCCATCGTTGTGTGAAAACGTACAAGAGAGCGTGCATCCTTTTGGGTGGAAAATTCCAAAGGTTGACATTGATGATAACGAGTTATTTGATGAAGTAAGCTACATTAGGCGAATTACTTCACCACAAAAGATTTCAGATTGGAATTGTCAGAAAATTAGTCTCGACTGTCGATAGGATGAAATTTTTCGTGTGCTATTTGTACAAATCCAGAAAATTGTGGAGTTTTTGTTGTGTCTTCCAGGGACATACACCGCCAGTGAAAGAGTTTTCTCGTCTATGAATATCATATGGACAATTGAAAAGACACAGTTAAAACTGGAAACACTACAAGCAATGCTAATGGTTAGGTTATTCAATTACAGCAAAGACTCGAGGGCTATCTGCCTAAAGGGAGGGATGCCTTCATGGAGAACTTTCTAATAGAAACTGGCTCGTATACATGTTACATATGGGGAAAACCACGATAATACCCATGCAGCTAGCCTGTTTGTGGGATTCGAACCTCAGACCGAACTACAAGTGTTCAGCGACTTTACCGCTCGGCTGCTGGTGGGTCCCAATGCTAATGGTGAAGTGCAATTTTGAGTGTGACAGTTCCTGTGATGAAGGTCTATGAAAGACTTCTACAAGAGCCAAAACTTCTTAGAAGCATTCATTCATGAATGAAATACGTCTACAGAGCACCTATACAGGATGATCCTTCTAGGTCAGCGGCTGATCAGGAAGGCTCATCGTCCGCGTCGAATTAATACAATTTGCTGCGTCATGTGCAGGATGGGCACATTCAAGCAGTAAGGTAAGTAGGAAGTTACAAATTTTTATTTTCTGACTGCTTTTTTTTTATTCTTTGTTCGCTGTTACTCTTACTGAAAGCACATCTGAGTTGTCTCAGTCCAAATCCCAAAATCCATGATTGTTGATTTAATAATTGATTCAGTCTGAGATATAGATAAATTTTATTTTTTCTTTCAATAATAGAGTCTGTTTAACACACATGCTAATTTGCAAATGAAGGATAATTCTTTACAGGACAATGCAACTTAACTAAAAATTTTGCACTCCGTATTTTTACCTTCTAATTTTTTAAAAACTACTCTTGCGATTTTTACAAAACTTGGCAGTTTGGCATAACTTGAGTCGTAGAATTGAAATATGGAAAAAAATTGTCATGCCATTTTGGAAAAAGTCCGTTTTTGTGTCAAAATACCTATATTGAAACAATGCTATATATAAATCTGATACATATCCAAAATTGTGCTTTCGAGACATGAAAAATGCAAGTTGAATTTTGTCAATCGGCCCAGTAGAACGAGAGATATAGAACACAGTGCACAATAGTGGTTTATCAAATAATGAAGCATTTATGACCTTAAATGAATCAAAATTTATAAAAACAAAAGCTCAATATTTATCAGGTATCCAAAAAATTTCATACCACTTGAGCAAAAAGTGAAATTTAAACAGCAGGTGTTGATAACCCTGTCAGGATGATGCAAGATATTGAGATTCCCATAAACCATCAGTCAGTGCTAAGTTGTGAGGCACATCAATGATATCGAAAACAGGTCTGTAGGAACTACAATTCTGAAGTAAACATGCAAGTGCAAAAAGATGTTTTATGGGCATCTTTACTTTACGAGTTCAAAATGGGCAGTAATTCTGTAGAAGCTGGCTAAAAAATATCCTCCACTTCTAGAGAGGCATCAGTGAGCGAGTGGCATAAATCAATTTGCACTAGAACGTGACAGCCTCCAGGACAAGCCTCAAACTGGATGTCCATCCATTATCAACAAAGCCTCACTGAAGAAGGATATTGAGCATGTTTCACATCAAATGTGCAAGGAATGTGCATAAGGGTTTGGAGTATCGGAGGAAACCATTACATTGCATCTGCACAACCTGGGGAAAAAAGCGGAAGCTCAGTAAGTGGTTTCCTCACATTTTTACCAAGAAAACCAAATTCCAGTGGCTCACCATTTGCTTTCATTGCTGTCATGCCACAAGAAAGTCCTATTGCTGGAACATATACTGATATGTGACAAGACATGGTTGTCCGACAAAAGAAAACATCATTGGTCATTCCCTAGCATTTGCTCCCAAACAAAACATTCATCAACAGAAGGTACTGCTTTGTATTTGGTGGACCAGCACCATTATATTGTGTACTTTAAACTGCTAGAGCCTGCTGGTCAAAATCATCAGAGCCCAGGTATAATCTTCCCATTCCCAAAGCATTGCACATTTGCAGTATGTCAAAAGTAGCCAGCACTAGTCAACAGAAAAGGAGTGATATCCTTCAAGACAATGGCAGACCTTATAGAGCAAGAGCAACTAAGGAGGTGATCAACACAATCGATTGGGAAGTTTACCTCATTCTCCTTACTCCGTGGGCATGCTTCATCTGACTATCACTTGTTTTTGGCCATGGATAACCATCTGCATGAGTAACAGTTCTGAAATTGAGATGATGTCACACAAGCTATAGGATAATTTTTAGTTCTAGGGAGAAGAGTTTTTATAATCTTGCAATTCACTGGGAACATGTAACTGAAACTGAAGGAGATTATTTCGCTGAATAAAATGCATTTGCATGAAATTTTTCACTAAAAACTACAGCACGAACTTCTTTGGATATCCGGTATATGTTTGCTTCATTTAACATTTCTTTCAACTTCAGTCGTAATTCCCACTAAATTGACAATTGAAATTTTTTCATTCTCAACAACCTTTCTATTTCTTCAATTTCTTCACTATCGGAAGTGATATTTTCCGGATTTAGAACCATACTACATATTTTGCTGTCTGTTCGTTGACTGATGTAGAGACATTGTCAATGCAATGAAAAACTTCTGTTATATCAACTATATTTATTAAAACTTCAGAAATTTTGCTCGTGATACCTGAAAACTTTAAGCTTTTTGAGACAGGGCATCTTTGTCACCTTGCGATGAGTGGAACAAAAAACGAATCATCCCAGAGGACGAGGGTTTTGTAACACTAAGCCTAATTTTAAGTACTTGCATCATAATTTTTATACTGTTTTAGATTATTACTTAAGCTACCATATGTGTTAAAATTAGTATTTATTAGACTTTTCCTTTTACTTTACATGAAAATATATAAAAATAAAAATTAATTTTGGGATGCGCTATTCAATTTATTCCAAAGCTTTAAAATTGCTTACTTTAAGAAATAATTTTTGGAAGCACTATTCAAACGATTTCAAAGTTTTAATTGGCAAAATACATTAATAAACTTTCTCTAAAGCTGTGTTCACACTGGTCTGTTGGGGCGTCAAGCGGCAAAGTGTAAAAAAACGCTTTCCATGTATGCCAGTTCACGCAAGCACGGCAACTTTCGCTTTAAAAGTTGTCATATGCTCGCACTAGATGGCGCTTCATATTGGAAACTTGGGGGAAAACTTTAAATTTTTTTGTGGTATTTTGACATTTTACGTTTACATTTTAAAATTAAAATGGATTTAATCTCTGCTCAGTTAAAACTTATTTTACTTCTTGCTTTGTGTAACAGAAGCAAAATGCAGTGGTTTATGTTAATATGTGAGAGATGACTGCAGTAAGGTGATGCAAGTAATTTAATTGAAGAAATGCACTTGAATGATTAGGTTAGATTATTTAATTATGGCAAAGCCTCAAGGGCTATCTGCCTAAGGGGAGGGATGCCTTCGTGGAGGACTTTCTAAGGGAAACTGGCTCATATACATGTTGCACATGGAGAAAATCATGAAAACACTCATGCAGCCAGCCCCTTTGCGGGATTCGAACCTCGGACCGAACTACCAGTGTTCAGCGACTTTACCGCTTGGCCACCGGTGGGCCACGCTTGAACGAAATGAAATTTCTTTTAATTACTTTTGCATGACACCTCATCAATTCGATGAATTTCTAGCACTCATTGAACTATTTATTCAAAAGCAGAAAACTCATTTTTGTCAGAATATCTTAGAAAAGAATCGTTTGGACTATAGGAATAAGATATCCCAGAAAAGGATCGTTGTATATATCAAACACTGTATATATCTAATTTAATTAATTTATGAATTTTGTTGAATGATAATTAAAAAATCCTAATTGTACGATTCTATTTTGGAGAGTGTATTTTTCATCTGGTAGAATACCATAAATGTTTTCGCATGATGTATGAACTTCCCTAAAATGCTTCCTTAAATAAACTTCCCTTAACTGGTTTAAGTAATGCAATAAAAATGTATATTTTGTTTAAGTATATGTAGGATTTACAGCATTACTAAATTAAATATCACACTTAGAAAAAGCAGTTATTTTTAAGTTAATAAACAACATCAATTTTTTAAAAGAATATATTAGTTTCTGCCTTATGTACATATTTTTTACCTTAAATGTAACAATAGTTACTTCAATTAGTCATTCATATATTAACGAACATCAACTATCTAAAGGTTTATTTTATCAGGTAACTTTTATCTATAACTCACTGAAGTAACTGCATTTTATATAATACTTCTTTTTCTGCATTAAAAATTGAATTCCACAATTAGCAAATTTGCTAATGCTTGTGCAAAAGTTTTTTAAATTAACGAAAAAATATCATCAAGATTAAACCTGTCGAAAAGTGGTCAGGCATGTTAAGAAAAACAAACATGAAGCTATTAAAATGCATAGAAATATTACATGAAATCAGATACATACTAGCGAGCTTCTTTTCTGTATAAATAACAGTTTTCTTAATTTTTTTAAACAAATGTTTTACTCGTCACCACTCACTTAAAATTCAGAACTCACTAAATTTTTTAATTAAATGAAACAACAACTTTATACTAAAACCAGTATCGCTTTTTCTAGTCTCGTGTCAGCCGAAATAGAATCAGATCATAGTAGTCAGATCTTATGAATTACACCAAAGGCTCGTTGTCAAAAGAAGAATAATGCACACAATGCCGAGCGAAAATTAGGTTTGTATGAATGATGAATGATATGAAAAATGAATGCAAGTTTCTCATGTCACCCCCCCCCCCCCCCCCCCCAAAAAAAAAAAAAAAAAAATTCGCAGAAGATTAAAAAAAAAAAAACAACTTATATTCATACCATCATTCAAAGGTAGGAAAAAGCAAGGCCCGAACATACAAGCCCCTAGTAAAAGCTTAATCTTTTACTTGAGCGTGTTACCTCCGCGCTACGATACCTTGCAGGTAAGCATCGTTTTCCCACTTCACCTTCAAGAAACTGAAGAAGCATCTGGGCTATTGTGAAACTAGCCATAATATTTTCTGTAAATATTTTTTTTTTTAAATACCAATTCCATTACAACATCACTCTGGTGATGCTTGAATCCAAAATCTTTAACTCAAGAAGCCAATGTTTTATCCACTAGGTAACAAGAGCAACTTTAAATTGATGTAGATATATTTTAAGAAAAATTCAGAATCTGAGATTTCAAAATCCATCACTATTTTCTCGCAACAATCTATTGCTTTAGATTACTCTGTAAAAATTATCAACTATATATCATTTATGGTTGATTATTAAGGTTTATTACTACTAATAAACTTGAGAATTTTCCTTTAAATAATTTATAAAGCTATTTATTCCATTAGCGTATGCATTTTTTTAATTTAATTTGAAATTTTTATTAAAATTAGTCCATTTGCCTTTTTTCCATCAAGAATTTTTGAAAGCACAATCATTTAAAAGCCATGGTATAAACTAGACGTTTGAAACGAGATGCATGAAACTGATGCATCAAGCGTCAAAAAGTTAAAGTTGAGTCAACTCATGCGGTCTCTGGCCATCTGGCAAATGCCGCCTCTGAACTCGCTTCTGATTGGTTAACGCGTGACCTGGTGCGGTGGTCTGCATGCTAGGGGCGTGTATTCCAGAGGTCGGCGGCTTGATTTCCGGCGAAGGCGGTTGCTCATTTTTCATCTCTCCGGCTTTTCCAATTAACCTAGTGTCTCTACAGTGTCGCCCGAACTAAAAAGGGTGTTGGATGGTGATTCTCCTCACCCAGGATTTGGTGACTAGGTCCCATAAAAACCCTAGTCACCCTTTAAAAGGGTATATAAGGTATTTCTCCCGCCTTCTTGGCAAGCCTTTGTGTTGTAATGGTCTGCATGCTTAGTGCGTAATTGAGAGGTCCACGGTTCGATTCCCGGCTAATTTTTCATCTTGCCTGCGTCAAAAAATACCTAATGTCTCTACAAAATATCACGTTAGTTCCAGTGCAGAAAGCAATTTTGGTTTGCAAAAATTTCAGATCATGAACTTCTGGAACAAAATTAATTTATGAATTCATTGTATGTGTTGTATATATAAATAACACTGTTAAAATACATTATGCACTAAGTTATGCTTTTGATAATAAGTAAAAAATGCTAGTGTAATTTCCTATAAAGTAATCATTATTTTCTAATTTTTATTGATATTTACTTACCAACTACTCGACCTTGAGCACAACCAGTGTATATGTAACTTTGTCCTGTTGTTGCTTCAGGTGAAAAATGGCAACGTATAAGCGTCTGTAATACACTATGGCCTCTGTAAGTCATCAAAGAAGTATCCCCTGGCAGTTTGCGCTTGTGTTTGTTTACTGAAACGATAGATAAAAAAAGAATAATTTCTTAGTCTATAATCCAATAAAGTCAACATGAAAGCAAATAACACCTGTAAAACCCTATTTATATATATCCTATCTATATATAACACCAATAAAACCCTATTTATATGATCTACTATGGAATGGCTGCATGAGAGGCATCCAGATTTTGTCCTGATAACCTGAACAAAGATTTATTGAACTTTAATTACTTTAGACTGTACTTTATATCTTTAACATATGATGACAAGAAATACAAATACAGGGTGTTTATAAAGTCCTGGACCCAATTTAATGCTTAATAACTCATAAAATAATAAAGATAGATTAAAATTAATAACATAAATGGTTAGATAGACTCAAAAAGTTTCATGACCCTTGTCAACAAACTTCCACATGTGCCCCCTTTGTCACACGGAGAATATCAAGTCGATATTCAATTTCACGCCAGGTACCGGGAAGCATGTCGGCATCCACAGAGGCTATTGCGGTTGTAATTCTGGCTTTTAGGTCATCAATGTTCAACATTCTGTAAATGTTTACAAATCCCCAAAGGAAAAAGTCCATAACATTGCAATAGTTGCCAAAAACAAAAGAGAGAAAAACGCAATTAATAAACAGATGATATTTAGAAAAGTACAGATATTTAGACTGGAAATTGAAATTATCTGAAATTAACAACACGCGCAAATGATATTTACAAAAGTAAAGATATTTTAACCTGAAAAGTAAAATATATAAGTTATTCTATCAATAAATGCCATAAGTTTGCTTATATCTTCATTATTTTATGAGTTATTAAACATCAAAATGGGTCCGGGACTTTATAAACACCCTATATTACCATTTTTTCTAAGCTGTGTTTTTCAAGATAATGTCAGACCAGTTAACTCCAAATCAAATGCAACATATGGTTCATGAAAATTCTGGTAAAAGAACGTAAACGAAAACTGAAATTCATTGACAACTATCATGTGTTTAGGGAACTGATTACAGCAAGTTCTTTAGTCTTTGAATATCGATACATCTTCGAAAAGCCAAGAATCCACCTATGTTGAGCTTTGTGAAGACTAGCTGAAAAATGTCATGATGTGTGTATCTAGTCATATGGTCGGGCTAGACATTTTGAACTAGTAGCAAATTATTGTAAAAAAGTATTGTTTCATTTTTGTTTTTTTTTGGGGGGGGGAGCGATAAAGTAGGAAAGACCATTCACAAGAAACATACCAGATTGTCCAATAAAGGTTTCATTCTACTCTATAGCTGTACTTTGGAGGGGGGGGTAGTGGAAGGACCTGAAAAGGCTACAGTCCCCAGAACTGAAGTTTCAGCTTATAAATAGAAAACAAGTACAAACACTAGTTTTAGGTGTAAGTTAAATGCATTCCCATAAGCAATGAGACTATGTTCTGCTGTTTGTTGTGCACTGCATGTATAAGTACTGAACTTGTTAGTGCTAAAATATCTCAAGAAGAAAGCCAAAATGAAAAGAGTAAATAAACCAGTGAAAAAGCTATTTTATTATTTTCTAAGAAACCAAACGCTATAGAAAATTCTTCTTTATGATTGATAAATCCAAAAGTGATACGGAAGAAAAGTCAGCAGAAGTTTTTATCATTAAGAAATAACTGCTCATAATATATATATATATAAAGAAAAAGGAGAACAAGTTATGTAGATATAAAGAAAAAGAACATCAAGCTGGATGGAAGAACTTAAAGGTACAGTTTTGCCTTCTTCACCTACATTGGAAACTCTTCCTGCATTTAATTATCAAGCAAGTTCAGAACCAAATAAAATCAATAAAGATATAGCTCATTATGTCAGTGCCTTACCAAACAACAATGAAAAAACTGAAGCTGGAGAAGCTTATTTGGAGATCTAGAATTCACAAACAGTTTATTTGTGAGAATACAGAAGAAATTACTGGACATTTCCAGAATGAATGATTGCAAAAATTTAAATGGCTTGATTGATCTGAAAAGGCTAAAGTGTTTACTCTTCTATGTACATGTTATTTTTAACTGAGAAGAATTTGGTGAGAAAAAACATTAAAAAAAAAAAAAAAAAAAAAAAAATTGGAACTTTTGTTAAGCAACCCTACCAAAATCTGGAAAAGAGTACCAAAATCTTTTAGTAAACAAGAAAAAAATAATTAACCACAAAAATGTAATGCCAAACAGAACTTGTATACGGAACTCCTTTGGCCAACAGGTAATGCCAAAGGAGTTCCGTATACAAGTTCTGCGGATGAGCAACCTAAGTCTTCCTTGATGGCAGATCTTATGCCTAATAGAACGAAAGGCAATGCTTCCAGCCATGATTTTGATTCGAGTAGATGACATTTGAGACTTGCTTTTAAAGTTCGGTGTTGTCTTTCGATTAGGCCATTTGCCTGTGGATGGTACGCAGTTGTAGTGTTTGTATGAAAACCAAGATATTTTCCTAAAGTTTGAAAAAGCTGGCAGAAAGTAATTGTTAAATATAAAATAGAGAGTACAGAAAAACAACTGGACCTCCCCTCCAAAAAAAGGAGGCATTGAAAAAATAAGAGAGAAACTTGTAATAGAAACTGTACATTTTTGTGGACAGCAAGGGTTTTCTTTACGGAGCAGTAATGGTTGAGGTTATATAGATCTCTCAATGCCAGAAGAAAATGATAGAAATTCCCAAAGCCAGTGGAGGAGATCAAATCTTGAAAAATCATTTATTACTGAAGTGTCTGGTGTGCAAATATAGAAAAATAACACTTCTCTGACTCCTATGGAACCAATATTTTATTCCTTACGATGTTATAGATTCTTATTCATAATATTTATTTACATTTTACATGCACGTAGCATCGCGTGACAAAAACTCGAAGTTTGTTTACTTCGTTCTTTGCGGAGACTAGAAGGTGTTGCCATTCCGCTTTAACTAAATTTAATTAGAAACTTAACGGAACTGAAGCGACACTACACACCCCCTTCCTAGTGACAGCGATTATGGAAATATAGTCTTTAAAGTGACTGGGGAACTTCACATGTCTGCCGGTTCTAGTAGTCTTAGTTTCATGATGATTTTCTTTTTTCTGAAGTTTTCTTCAGTGTTCTTGAGTGAAGGTGTTTCCCCAAGTTCCGCTTTCTTGGAATGGAATTTTGAAAAGGAATATCAGAATCTTGCACTAGGAAACATGGCTTTAGTCTGTCTATTGAAACTCTTTTAACTTTTCCTTGGATTTCAATATCGAAGTACTTATCCTTTCTTGCTCTTACAGGATACGGTCCAAGATAGACAGGCTGTAGCGACGAATTATTAATGTTGTTGTATAGGAATACGTGAGAACAGTTGGAAAGATGTTTAGAAACAAAGACTGTTCTATTTCCATGGGTGGTGGTAGAACTTGGCTTCATAGCTCTTATTATTTTCTGAAGGTTTTGAGAAAATTCAGACTGTTTCATATGAGGTACTGTTGAAAAGAATTCACCAGGTAATGCTAAAGGAGTTCCGTATACAAGTTCTGCGGATGAGCAACCTAAGTCTTCCTTGATGGCAGATCTTATGCCTAATAGAACGAAAGGCAATGCTTCCAGCCATGATTTTGATTCGAGTAGATGACATTTGAGACTTGCTTTTAAAGTTCGGTGTTGTCTTTCGATCAGGCCATTTGCCTGTGGATGGTACGCAGTTGTAGTGTTTGTATGAAAACCAAGATATTTTCCTAAAGCTTGAAAAAGTTGGCTATCAAATTGCCGACCTTGGTCAGATGTTATGCGATTCGGAATTCCAAAGCGTGAAAACCAAGTATAAATCAAAGCTTTAGCAATAGATTCTGCTGATTGATCTTCTAACGGTACCGCTTCGATCCATCGTGTATAACGATCGATGATGGTTAGAAGGTATTTGAATCCTTTGCAAGGAGGTAGCGGACCCACCAGATCTATGTTTAAATGCTGGAATCTGTGTGGAGGTACTTTGAATTCTCCCAAAGATGAATGTGTATGTCTGTGAACTTTAGATCTTTGGCAAGATAAACATGCTCTAGTCCATAGTTGGCAGTCTTTATTCATATTGGGCCATATGAAACGTCGTGTTATCAATTTTATCGTGGATCTTATTCCAGGATGAGATAAATTATGGATTGAAGAAAATATTTTCTGCCGAAACTTTGCAGGGATGTATGGTCGATTATAATTTGTAGAAGTATCACAGTAAATTTTCTTGTCGCTGTCCGGTATAGGGATCTGTAGGATTTTTAAGTTTGGGTTGTTTTTTAGTATCTCCAAGTCGTCATCTTCTTGACAGTCTACTATAGTTTGTAAGTCTATTGCAGATGGTACAGAAATGGTGTCTATGCGAGAGAGAGCGTCAGCGACGGTATTTTCATGCCCTTGTATGAATCGGATATCGGTTGAGAACTGGCCAATATATGACAGTTGTCTAGCTTGTCGTGGCGAAGCTTTTTCCAAATTTTGTTGGAAGGCAAATGTTAGTGGTTTGTGATCCGTGTATATTGCAAAAGTTCGCCCTTCTAAGATGTATTTGAAATGTTTTACTGCTGTATAGATGGCTAAGAGTTCTCTATCGTAGGCACTATATTTTTGTTGTGCTGATGTCAAATTTCGGGAAAAGAAACTTAAAGGTTGTTTTTCATTATTCACAATCTGATGTAAAACGGCTCCAATGGCAGTATCGGAAGCATCAGTTGTTAGCGATATTTCAGCCTTTTCGGATGGGTGAGTTAAGTTTGTGGCATGAATAAGTGCATCTTTTAAGATCTGGAAGGCGTTTCTTGTTTCTGCCGTCCAGGTTATTTCTTTTCTGCAGTTCTTTTTAATACCACTGAGCAATGTTGTTAAAGGTTGTTGCAATTTCGCACAATTTGGTATGAATCTGTGATAAAAATTCACCATACCTAAAAATCGTCTTAAACTAGTAAATGACTTTGGTTCTGGGAAATTTTTGATGGCATCAACTTTCGTTGAAAGAGGTTTAAGTCCTTCAGCTGACACTTC